TTCCACTTGCCAGGCAGGTGCTTATGCCACTGAGCTATCTTCTCAGCCCAATCCTTTTAATTTTATATCACTAGAGAGAGACTGAATATGTTCTTTTTGAAGAATAGGCCCATTTTTAAAAGTGCATTTTAAGGGTCTATCTTTTTCCTTGCTATTGTAAATGGAATATTTTCTCCAAACTATTTTCTAACCATTGCTATTTCTGATGGGTATTGAATTTTGAATATTGATTTCATTTTGTTTTCTATGGTTTGACTAACCTCCTGAAAAATTTTACATCAAGTGGTGATAGCTGGTGCCATAACTTATCTGCAATTAACTAGCAATGTTTCTCATTAAGCATGAGTCATGATACTGCCATTTATAAATCATGCTGTAAATATTTTTTATTACATATAGTTTTATCAGTAATAACTAATTTTTCCAAATGCTAAAAACTTTTCAAGTGTTATCTTTTTTCTTTTTTAATGTAATTTTCTTTTATTTGGAAAAGTAAGAACAAAAACAAGAAAAACAAAACCAAACAGAAACAAGATAACATACAACAATATATATGTTACAGATTTTCAAAACAAGAATAGGTGATTAACAATGCCTGATATATTATTTATCTTTATCATCAAATCTGTTGTTCAGATTAACAGGTATAGTTATGTAAGATTGGACATATGATTGAATATTACTGCATGCTTTCAAAAAATATTAAATTTTTGTTTTTGTCTTTTCTTTGATTACCTTTTTCTAAAAATATTTTAAAGAGAACATACTAATAATTGATATGACATTAGAAATGGTATACATTTAGAAGACCATGATGACAGGTATGTAAAGCACGGATGTTGTATTGCATTTTGCTGTCCTCAATGTAGTTGCTTAGTTCGCAGATATTAGCATACAGAGTTAGTCAAGGTGAGGATTCTACGTATTCACTGCTGTTTTCAAAAAAACTGATGGAAATTCTTAGTATAATCACCTCAGCCTTCTTGATTACATACTTGCATGATTTCCCCCTACCTTTTTTCCTGTCTCTCCTCTTTGTTGTTTAATCCTTAAATTCTGTTTCTTTCTGTTTAATTGTATCTGTTATTGTAATAATTTTTCTATGTTGGTCTATTAATATGGTAAAGTATATTGATAAAATTTCTATTTTTTTGTTTTTGTTTTTTGAGACAAGGTTTTACTACGCAGTTCAGGTTAGTCTTGATCTTACTGTGTAGCCCAGACTGGCCTCAAATTCACAGTGATCCTCCTGCCTCAGCTTCCTGAGAGCTGGAATTACAGGTGTGTGCTGCCACCAGGCCTGGCAAAGTTCCTAATTTTGAACCACACTAGCAAGGATAGAGTCCTTTTGGATTCTAGGCTACGATTACCCACTAGATTCTCTTTTCAGATGTTTTACTTATGCATTTGATATCAAATAGATTTTAGTGACACTGGAATGTGTTATTCCATCAAATTGTATTGGGAAAAATTTCAAACATTTATAGAAATCAAAAAAACAACATAACTGAATACTGTATATGTTCTAACTAGAATTTGTAATTACCTACCTTTTGCTACATTTGAGATATCTATCTATCTATCTATCTATCTATCTATCTATCTATCTATAATTTTTCTACTCATCCTCCAACTAGCTAGCTGCATGTATTGAAAGTGAGTTACAGATGTCACAATACTTGCTTGCCTCAAAATACTAAAATTAAGGATCTTATTATTTATTTATTTATTTATTTGCGGAACCAGGGATTGAACTCAGGCCCTTGTGCTTGCCAGGGAAGTGCTTATTCCACTGAGCCACCTCCTCAGCCCCAAGGATCTTATTTATGACACCACCTCAGTACTACTTCTATAATTACAGTTTCTAAATAGTATCTAGTATCTAACCCATATTCAAATTTTGTACAGTTTCAAGAACATCTTTTGTAGTTATTTTGCCTCTTGAATTGGTCAAGTTTCACTCACAGCATTTAGTTTTAATTCCTGCAAACTCATCAGTAAGGTCTGAGATCTGGTAGAATTGGATTGGACATTATTGGCAGGAACATGTCCAAGTGGTACTGCATGCTCTAGGGGGCATTACATCAGGAAGACCGTGATGTTAGCTTGGCTTGGTATTAGTAATGGTAGGTTTGACCTCTTGTGTGTTTTACGGTATAATCCAGGCTTCCTTGTAAGAAGTCTTTGAGCCGGACCTTGACAAGGTGTAGAAACCCTGTTTTGCATTGGTCTTTCATGCCATCTCTTGAGCATGCTTGATGAACCTGGCTTGAAGGAGCCCTCACACTGTGGGCCGCAAGAGATGGTTTCACAACAGTGATTTTCTAAGTTACATATACTTTTGTATTAAAAAAAAAAAAAAAAAGACTGCTTCTTTCTTTCATTTTCCTCTCTGTACTTGGGAATTTTTATTTTTTGAATATTTTATAATATGAGACAATATTTTTTAGAGGAGAGGTTTCAAAATTCCAAAATATAGAGAGTGGGAACATTTTGACTCTTTAATTCAACTGAATTTTAAATACTGCCTTGGTTTGTAGAACAAGATGTCCCAGCCTCCCCTAGGAATTTTCACTGCCCTGGACCTAGAATGTTCTGTTTCTCACCCTACCCATGGCTGGCTGGGTCTTCTCACTGGTGTGTGAGTGTCGGGGAGCATGTCAACATGCAGCCAAATAATGGACGACCCTGTATTAGCCTTTATTTCCTGTGTGCAGAGCTCCCAAGTTAATCAGAGGTGAGAGTTTGGGTGCTCTCTGAGCGTGCACACTGCCCTAGGCATTCATGTGGCCTTCTAGATTCCCGGGAACATGTTGGCGCTCTTCAGAACCGCCTGTGGACATCTCATTCCCAGGTTTTCCTGTCAAACTTTTTGGTTGGCTTATTGTTTTCTCCAACTGTTATCCATTACCTCATGCAGCCTCAACATCCAAAAACTACCTCTGATTGTTTTGGTCAAGTTCCCCGAGGGAAAGGCAGTTTGCACTGGGCAAGCTCACAGTTAGGTAAAATAAAGGCAGCTTTGTGCGTGAGGCCTTCCAGGGAACTACACAGGTCCAATAACGACAGCTGGGAATTGGGCTCCGGAGGAACTCCACACCCATTCCAGCTCCTGCAGAGTCTGGCAGGCGGCTGGCTTTCACTGGGATGATAGGCTCTTGTTTTTCAGGTTTCTATGGAGGAGGAGCCTGGGGGAGACAGGAATAAACAAGTTAATATGCTCCTAAACTCACTGCTCTTCTTGTGTATTTTTCTTGCATAATTGCTGCCCAGACTGTAGCAAGCTTTTGATGAATTTCCAGTTTTGAAAGTGTTGATGCTGACAATTTTTGCAAGTGTTTTCTTGCCTTTATGGAGGAGGTTTTGTGTGTGTGTGTGTGTGTGTGTGTGTGTGTGTGTGTGTGATGGTACATCCCCTTTCTGGACATTTTTCATCTGGAAAAACAGAAATTCTGTGCTTACTAAATAATACTACTTGTTTCCCTCTCCCCAATCCTCTGGTGACCACAATGTTACTTTCTGTTACTAAGAATGTGGCTTTTCCAGGTGCCTCATGTAAGTGGACTCATACTACATTTATCCTTTTGAGCCCATCTTGTTTCGTGTAGCATACTGTCTTCATGATGAATCCATGGTGCAGCATGTGGCAGAATTCCTTCCTGTGTGTGGCTGAATAGCATTCAGTTGTAGGTATATACTTTGTGATATTTAGCATTCCTGTGTGGATGGATGGACACTTGGATGGCTTCCACATTTTGCTTATTATAAGTAATGTGCCTATAAACATGGAAAAGATAGATATATATATACCATAGCAGGCATTACAGCTTTGTATCGATATTTTTATTTATTGCACAGCGTCCCTTACTATGGATATATAACACTTCTTTATTTGACCTATTCCATACTGATGGATCTTTTAATAGACTTCATTATTCTCTTTGATGGGTATATATTTAAAACAAAGAAACAGATTTGGAAAAGACCTTCATCCCAGTGTTAAAACGGGTGATCTCTGGGGAAGTAAGATTAGAAATAGTTTTTGTTTTTTAGTTTATCTGCATTGTCTAATATTCAGTATGCAACATGTATTAAAAACGAATCAGTAAATACATTGATATCCTTTGTTTCATCTTTTTCCCTTTGGAGAGTCTGTCCAAAAGCTTGTTCTCTATGAGTGAAATGAAAACACAGCCGCTACTTGAAGTGATTCTCCTCACTGCTAACAGTCCAGTGTCAGCAGCAGAGCCATTGGGCACGGTGCCTGTGTTGAGTTTAGATGATCATCAGAGCATAAAGGTTATTACTGTAACATGTGCCCAGTGACAGAGTATCCACGAAGACCCGGATTTCCAGCAATTGGTTACCTCTAGTCCAGGGATCACTGGGCTGCTCTGTGGAGGACACAGAGTGTATGTTAGGCTTTGAAAGCCACGAGGCACGTGCAGCGACTGTGCAGGGTGGCCTTCGTGGGGCAGAAGCAGCTATAAACAAATGGATATAATCGTGTTTGGCTCTGCATATGGCACACTGATGAGGCCTGGGGACCGCAGGTAGGTGGGGTGATAGGCCCAGGCGTTTAGTCAAACTCTCCTTTGATGTTATTCAAAAAAGGTATTTAAATGGAAGCACAGGAGCAGTATTTACGTGCCTTACACAACTGGAAATGAAATGTAGGTAAGAACCTTCCAGACATGTCCCAGAACCGGCTGGCTTGCTCATTTTCTGCTTTCAATGCGCGATTTTTACTGTTTGTCTTGTGTTCTTTACTAGAAGAAGAAAATGTGATTGCCGTTCCTCTGGGAAGTCGAAGTGTGAGAATCACAGTGAAAGGCCCTGCTCATCTCTGTGAGTAGCGTTCCATCTTCAGCAACTTTTATTTCTTAAGTTTGTTTGGAAAAAGGAAAAAAAAAAAAAAAAACGTAATGGAAAAAGGAAAAAACAAAACAAAACAACAAAAAAAAACCTAACAGAAAGTCTTACCCCCAGTTGATGGCAGGTAAATAAACATGGATCTTAGCGACTTTGCTTATTATTCTGGACTAGTCTGCATGGCTAGGAAATTGTCAATCTACTCATTTTTTCTGCTCTCATGCCCCAGTGGAAAATGTACTGGTTTGAGATCCATCGCTTCATGGGAGAGGAAATCAAGTTGTATGTGAAATAAAAGGAAGAGTACAGAAGGCTGCAGGCAGTTTTTGGAAATTTCAGCAGTTTGCAACAGTGGTATTTCTTTGGCAAAGCCAAATTATATCTTCTGTGGATTAGTTTTTCCAGTCTTTTAGAAGGAACGGCAAAACCTAGAGGTTTTTTCCCTGTCTCCCAAGGTGTCCTTGGAGCCCCAGGCAGGACTTTCTTGGTTGTATTAAGAAGAAAGCAAGTCTCTGCCTACCTGGTCCAGCCTTGGTGTTTACGGAGTTCCGTCAACTCAGCAAAGAAAGTGTGAAGCTTTACTCTGACTCCTGTAAAGCACGCGATTGGTGTCCACTGAATCAAAGTGTGGTGCATTGTCCCCTTTCCCTGGGGTATTATCTTTTGATATTTAAATCATAAGAATTTGTTAAAATCAGAAGAATCTCACATTTTGGTTGCACATGTCTGGTGCGCTGTGAGAAAAGTTGATAATGAAATTTTTAAAGAAGAACGTTTAAGGTCACTATCACATTGAAAAAAAAATAAAGAAATTTGGTTGTACAATGTGATCCAAATTAGAGATGGAAGAGAATATGTTTGTGACAATGAAAATGAGCAATTATTTAAAAGCCCTGTCTGGTCCTTAACTTTATGTGAATTATACCTAAAAGGGTAATGGAATTTTTGGACATAATTTTTGAGGTTCTTTTTGAGACGGGGTCTCAATGTGTAGTCCAGGATGACCTTGAACTCACTGGATAGCCCTGGGTGGCCTCAAACTCACAGCGATCCTCCTGCCTCAGCCTCCTAAGTGCTGGGATTACAGGCCTGCACCACCATGCTCAGCTGACCATGATTATTAAAATGTTTCTAGCCATGTAATTATTTTTTTACTCAAGGCTTTCTCTGTAATGAAACATCAACACTTTTTTTCTATTAATGGTTTGAAAACCTACATCTTTTGATGAGTTTCCTCTTCCTTATAAATGTAAATTGATTTTCAGTGACCAAATCATTCAGATTCAAACTGTTTAATAATTTCAGTAATAGTCTTGTGAAATACCATTTGGGTTAAAAAATACAAAATGCTGAATATTCACAGTAGCATTGCTGATACTAAACATCAAGTGGAAACAACCCAAATGCCCCTCAACTATTCAATGAATAAGTGAAATATTCAATATGTGGAATATTATTTGGCTATGAAAAGGGATGAAGTATGGATATTATGCTACCACATGGCAATCCTTGAAAACATTATGCTTAAATGAAAGGAGCCAATCACAAAAAGTTATGCATCATATGATTCCATTAGTCTACAATATCCAAAACATGTAAAGCTACAGAGATGGGAAGTAGCTGGGTAATTGCCTGAGTTGCTGTGGGATTTCTTTTGGTGGTGACAAAAATATTCTAAATTATATATTTTAAATAGCCAAGGGTGGGCCTGGGACGTAGCTCAGCATTACAGCACTTGTCTAGCATGTGAAAGGCCCTGAAAGGCCCCTGCACACATGTATACACACACACACACACACACACACACACACCCCTACATGTGTTCAGACTGTGCATATACGTACAACTTGTGGCATGTGAGTGATATATAAAATGTTTGAAGCATTTTAGAATGCAGTGACTGGGCCTGATATTTTCATGTGACTAAAGGTAATACTTCAAATTTCAGCTTCAAAAATCATTTTTAAGTCATAAAAACATAGTAAGCAAACAGGAAACAGACAACTGTGTGGAAGCGAATACCACAACATGAAGTTCACGTGTGTGGCTGTGTGCGACACGCTAGATGCTACTTTATGTCCCAGACTCGGGCGCCTTTCCAAGAGCAGGGCTCAGCTGTGTCCCCATTTCTCCAGAAGAGACAGACAAGTTGCTCGGAACATTTCTCCCTCCCAACAGTTTCCCAAGTGGCTCCGCCACTGTTCCCGAAACTTTTCCTTCTCTAGCGGTAAACGGAATTGGCTTCATCTGCAAAGGATTGAGTTTACATTTCTGAATATCTAGATAAAGAAGAGGCTTTATTTTCTTAATTTATCCAATCATATTTGCAGTTTTATTTGTAAAAATGATGTGCTTCTGAAATCAAGCTGATTTTGCAGTAATCAGTCTTTTAGGATCCATATTAACTACAACACTCTAGAGAACTCATTATTCCGAAGTGAGTATACCTGGGGACGTTAATCCCAGCCTCTTTGTTGTGGAATGAAATTTAATGACAGGACATCCAACTAACATTCTTCTCATGGCAATTAATTAATTAATTTATTTATTTATTTATTTTTCAAAACTGGGGATTGAACTCAGGCTCTTGCGCTCGCCAGGCAAACGCTTATTCTACTGAGCCATCTCCCCAGCCTCTTATTTGTCTTTTTGAGACAGGGTCTTAGTATGAAGTTCAGGCTGGACTTGAGCTCACTTTGTAGCCCAGGATGGCCTGCAAATCAAAGCAATCTTCCTGCCTCGGCCTCCCAAGTGCTGGGATTACAGGTGTGCACCACCACAGCCAGATCTTACAGCAGTCTAGATGCTGAATATCTAGTCCTGATCCATGCCTGGCCACATTATGCAGGAAGCACTGACCCAAAATTTTCCAGCAACACGCCCCTTCAAAAATGAAATCAGTAAAAGGACTTCTGTAAAGGAAATATTATTGCAGCAAAACTTCAGCACTGGATATGTTTGACTAGCAATAAAATTTAGGACCCAAGATGCCATATACCACATTGTAGTATCTCAAAATATAAAAAAATATAGAGCTGTCCTAGATGTAAAAATTTAATGTGTTTATAACTATATTCATTGTTTTAAGCTCTTGCCACACATTTACCTAACTGTGTTTTTATGGCTTTCAGAATTTAAGGAGATCCCCTGGCAATGGTTACAAAACTCTGCCTTTAAAAAAATATATATATATGTATTTGGTAAAGGGTCTTGCCATACAGCTCAGACTTGTAGTGATCCTCCTGTTTTAGCCTCCCCAGAGCTGGGATTACAGGCATGCACCACCATGCGCAGTTTCCATGGCTCAGCACAGGGCTGGCACAGCATGCAGTACCAGGGTTCAAACCTGGATCCTTGCACTTGCCAGGCAGGCACTTAAGACTGCTAAGCTATCTCTCTGGCCCTTTGCCCCTTTTGAAAGAAGTTCCCATTGATAACTTCTCAAGTGCAAGCTCTTCCACCAGAAGTTACTGGAGGCATTCATTACTTATTTAACCATTCTACCTTTTAAAAAATAAGAATAGATTAAAATATTTAAAGGCATCATTGCAGCCTTGAAGATCTGAGGAGAGAAGGCCCTGACTGCTGAGTCAGTTTTGTTACTCCTCAGGCTTCACTCTCCTGCCGCCCTTCAATCTCCCCCACTCAGTGTAAGCCCAGCAGCAGTCAGGGGCTGGTGGATAGCAGGAGAGACTCCTGGCCCGCTCCTTGGTAGTGGTGGGGAGCTTCCAGGCTTCCTGGGGTCTCCCAGGCTTCAGCCACCTCGCTGTGGAAGCCAGAGGCTCAGTGCAGGTACTGAGCAGGGACCAGGGAGGAGCCCGTGTGTGCAGATTGGCCTGAGTCACACTCAGGATAGCAGACAGAGGGGAATGAAAACTTCACATGATTTTTCACTCCGTAAGTCACATGATGGTCAGACTTCTTAGAGACGTTCTACCATCATGTGACTTATGGAGTGAAAAACCAGGGGCTCTGTTTCTGTCATTTAAGAGGCGTGGGTCCTGGGAAGAAGCAATTTGTCTCCAGTGTAAAGGGCAGCCTTTGAAGAGCTGTGTCGGCCTCGGCCTCCCTGTGGTCCGACAGGGTGGTCTTGCGGCGCCAGGGTCACGCTTGCAGGCAGGCAGGAGCGCCTTCCTCAGGTTGCCCTGCGTTCGCTCCCACCTCCTTTGGCCTCAGCTCCTCGCTCTCACAGCTGAGGCGGGAGCACCCGCTTTCCACCTCCTGGATGGGCAGTTGTGTTGCTCTCCAGAGATCTGGAGGCCTTTTGAAAACCTGGGGCAGAGTGATATTTTATAATAAGCAAATAGTTCCCTGATAAAGACGTGTGGGATGGGAAGCTTGAAAATTGTCTTCTCTATTTCTATTTTTATACCCTTATCACTGAAAAACCATATTTTCTGTGAAGGAAGAAGACATTTTTACTTATTTTTATTAACTTTTTGCTACATTATAGTTACATCCATTTTGGGAAGCTGGTACGTATTGTTAGCACATCCTGGCCTTTTTCAGTCCCTTTTTCTATGCTTCCCTATTCTCCCTTCTTCCTCTTCCTCATCTCCAAAATCTGTCTACATGCTATTTTATCACCTTTCTTTCTTTCTTTCTTTCACTCTTCATTTGTGTTTTAGGTCCCTCATGTCATGTAAGAGAAACCCTGCGTTATTTCACTTTCTGTGTCTGACTTGCTTCACTTAACGTTGTGTTCTCAAGACCTTCATTTTCTTGCAAATGACAATTTCATTCTTTATGGCTGAGTAAAGAATCGTGTGTGTGCACTACATTTTCTCCATCCATCCATCCATAAGTGGGCACACAGGCCATTGGCAGAGCCCAGTTATTGTGGATTGTGCTACTTTAACATGGATACGCATGACCCACTGTAGTATGCCGCCTTTAATTCTTTCAGGAATATACCTAGTGCGGTGAAATGGAATTTATACTTTTAGTTTTTTGAGAAATCTCCACACACAATTGCATAGTTGTTTTAGTAGTCTATGGTCTCACTAACACTCCAGACATCTCCTTTCCCCCACATCCTGCCTTCCATTTGCTATTTTTATGTGTCTTTTTTATTTATTTTAATTTTTTGTATTTAGCACAAGGTCTACAGGGTCTCACTACATAGGTCGGACTTGTAGTGATCCAGCTATGTTCAGCCTCCCAAAAGCTGGGATTACAGGCGGGCACCACTGCGCCCAGTCTCAATGCGCCCCAGGTTGGGACCCGCACAGCAAGGCAGAATCAAACCCTGGCCACTGGGTCTGCCTAAGCAGGAGGTTTAATCACTGAGCTATTTGGCCGGCCCCCCCTTTTATTTTTTTTGTACCAGGGATTGAACTCAGGACCTTGAGCTTGCCAAACAAGTGCTTATCCTACTGAGCCATCTCCCCATCTGTGTTCTTGATGAAAGCCACTCTGACTAGCTTGCGATGGGATCTCAGAGTTGTTTTCATTTGTGTTTCTCTAACAGCCAAAGATGCTGAACATTTTCTTCATGTTCTTACTGGCCATTTGCACTTCTTCAGAATCTTAGCGCTGCAAGAGTGCAGGGGCTTGCCAATTAAAATAAACAAAGCAAACTAATAGAAACACTGGCATTTGGTTAGGAGATGGATGTTGCAGCAGCAGATCTTCCTTCTCCCCCGGGTCATCTTCCCAGATTCCTATACCCCTGCTCCCACCCTGCATCCCAGTGAAACTTGGAAAGCTGTGTTCCAGAAAGTAAGAGCAGTGGTTAAGCAATCATACCCTGCCCCCCGCAGCTGTGGAGTCCATCCAACACCACTTGAACTGAATCACGTCGTTCTGGGCCACATCTCGGTCTAGCATCTTGGTGTCTCACAGGCTTCCAGGGGGATGGCGTATGTCTGGTTTCATTCTGCTTTGATACCGCATTGCTCCAGTGTCCATTACTTTTCTCCTTTCCTTTATCGACCTAGCTCTTCCAGTGTGGCGCTTGTTTGCTGTCTCTTATTCCCAATCTCGCCTCTCACTGACAACACACTTTATAACACTCAGTTTTATATCTTTATTGGAACTAGGAAATGAATATAATCTTGCACTTTCCAAAAATCTGCGGTTGTGGAGAGCAGGGCCAAAGTGGTTGGGGTTTTGTGTGCCTGAGCGTAGCCAGCATTATTTTTTGACCACTAATGACTCCTCCAGATCAAGGAGCTCATAGCCAGTGCTGAAATGTTCCCAGCCAAGTTCTTAGCCTGCCTATCAGGGATAATCAAGGATGTCTTCTGGTGCTTGGGATGCAGTCTGTCTGGTGCACGTGGATTCCCGCACCTGCACCGTGGCAGAGAGAAAAATCCAGTAAATGGAAAGATCCAGAGCCCAGCAGCCTGTGTGGCAGAGCTCCCAGTAGCCCATGGATCAGAGGTCCCAGAAGCCCACGGGGCAGAGCTCCCAGCAGCCCACAGGGCAGAGCTCCCAGCAGCCCATGGGTCAGAGCTCCCCATTCTGGTCCATCTTGCTTTCGTCAGCTCTCCATATTTAAGTTTGAAGCTGAATGGGATTTTGAGTCTGTGGTGTTCTTTTCTCAAGGCTGCAGCAGCTGCACGAAATGGAGTGCAGGTTTCATAGCAGAGCTGGACACAGGAACCATCTGCTGTCTTGATTTTAGATCAGAACAGTGACAACCTGAGGCAGCCAGTTAGAGGAAATCTGGGGCCAGAAACACAGGTGCCCCAGCACCCAGCTATGAATGTCCTCATTGCTTCATTCAGCCTGGGGCCAGTTCTATTAAGTACTGTGTCTTACTGAAATAAGACAGACTCAAGAAAGGGGAAAAGAAAGACAAAAATTAAATACGATGGAAATGTCATGTTGTTCAAACTGTGGAAAAACATTTTTCTGATGGAGAATGTTTTAAACACTTTGAAAACATATGAGAATAAGAGTGGCATACACAAAGGAGAGTGGCAGTGGAATGGTTCTATGTCTGCACTGTGTGAAACACATCAAGCCCTATGCACACACTGCCATCTTCGGGTTTTGCTGCTGTACTCTTAAATTTCCTAGGACATAACCATCACGAAAAGCCTGGGAGGGGTTGCGGAGGACTCCCCCATGTTATTTTCAAAGAAATTTCAAATTCATCATGCTTATTTCAATACGAAGGACCAAGTGGTAAGCATAAGATCTCCTGAACAGGTAGTAAGTGAGTAAATTTGGCTTTGTTCATTGTATGTGTTTTAGCTGCATCATGGGAAAAAAATGTAAAGAAATGTTTGCTCTTTCTTCTTACGCTAGAAGTGACTCCAAATAACTGAGTAGACTTGTGGTTCCTACCACCCTTGGTAGCATATTTTTATAGGCAACTTAAAATAATTATATTTTTATTCCATCAGCATGAATCAATGTAAATTGAGTAGGTATTTTTGTATTCGTACTATGTACTGATATCATGCTTAGTGAAATGCCATTTCGATACAAACACTTTTAGGATAGTTCTCTTATTTAAATTTTACTTTTACTTTTTAGTTATTGAATCAAAAACACTTCAAGGAAGCAAAGGAGAACACAGCTTTAACAGCCCTGGAGTCTTTGTTGTGGAAAACACAACAGTTGAATTTCAGAAGGGCTCAGAGAGGCAGACCTTTAAGATCTCAGGACCACTGCAGGCTGACTTCATCTTCAAGGTAGGATGAACCAGGACAGCACCCTCCTCCACGGGGGCTGGGAGCATCTGGATTATCAGAATGGTGTGTGGAACAGGAGGTCACTAGTGATGGTTTTAGCATGGCACATTTCCTTGATATTTTCGTCCCTCTAATCCCTTCCCACAACTTGTTCATCTCGCTCAAGTGTCTTCTCCTTAACCCTGCTTGTTAAGAAAGACGCTACACTTTCATAGGGGAGAGGTTGAGTTTTGCATTCAGAATCTCTAGTTGCCATGTGCAGTTTTCAATCTCCGGAGTCTAGTGAAAATGAGCAATAGTTACGCACAGTATCCTTGCAGATCAGAGCAGAGTCAGAGCCTGTTTGCTTGCTCTCCTGACTGGGGTTCTTGGCTTCCATCCTCAGCCTCTGGAGTGCACAGTCCTGCAGTGGCTGATCCAAGCTCAGGGATTCAGTCCCCAGGTTATGAGCACTTTTAGGAGGAATTTTTAGAACTCTGAGAAACCTATAGCTCCCCTCTGATAAACAGAGAGGGCAGGAAGTATAGCCGGCAGTCTTTTTCTAAAATGACTCACTTTAGAACTCTTCTGATAAATTTGACACTGCTGCTTAGGGAAAGCAAATCATAACTCAGAGGATAATTTTGCCCTCTTCCTTTTCAGAATACTCATTCCAAAAATGTAAACGGAAAGAAAAACATCGCCTTAATTGTCACTGGTATCTTCAAGTATGGGAAAACAAATCCCAAAACATTTAGAACAAAAAACTGTCTGTGTTCTACATAGTAATTTGTCATAGAATGTTTCGCTGAGACACTGCTGTGTCAGCCGGGAAATACGTGTGGAGGTAATGAGAGTTGCTAAGGGATCCAGGTTCCTGAGAGTCAGGCTCTGCCTGCAGTGTAACTGGTCATGTATGCTATTTTTGATACTTCGGGTTTTAAAATAGTCAACATTGAAAAATCAAGACAGTTGTAATAAAATATCAGGGGTTTTCTGCTGTGTTTCAAAAAACAGGATGATCTAACAATGAACTTACATTTTACAATAGCTGCTGTCAGCTGCAACTAGATGGCCACTGGCCTCTATCCTGGGTACATTTTCTAGTTCATCATGGTGTGTCAGCCCCTGATGGCATCCCTAGCATGAAAGATACAGGTTCCTCCTGCTTCCGGTGCTCACTTACATCCTCAGCCTAGCTCGTGGCGACATCTAGACTTGGGACTTCTGCGTCAGACCCTTGCATGCTGACTCCATTGTCTTCTCTTACCATAACAATGTGAAAGATTTGGAAAGGGACCATAATCAGTATCTGTCTTACCCTCTCTCTGGTCCATTGTCATGACATGAATTCTGGGCTTGTCTTGTTTCCTCTGGGCTTTGCTACTTAATTCTCAAGTAGTAAACACAGAGAGATATTTTTCTCTTTCAATAAATACCAAGGGAGTTTGAGTTCTTCTTAAGCTACTATGGAGGTTTCTTATTGAGGAAGACAATAGGATGATGATATTTTGGAGAAAATCCACGAAGATTAGTATCCAAGATACTGGTTATTATGTCCACATGCCTAGATCCTAAAGACACATTTTTTTTTTTATTGCTACCAGGTAGGAGAATGCACATGCATGGAAATTGTATGTTTCTTTGATTGTGTGTAACCTCTACACACATGCATGTGCCTATGTACTTTTTAATATTTGGAAGAATGCATACCAAAATGAAGACAATAGTGGCTATTAGAGAAGGAACAAATGCTCTGGGGGAGTAGCTTAATTTTGCTTATGATATCTAATTTTGAAGAGTAATTTGTGAAAAGAATGCTTTCATGTATCATTCGTGTAATTAAAATATTTACACCTTCTTACCCGCATTACATAGTGGCCTCTTTACAGAGGTCATTGCAATAGCATAGTTTCTGCAATCTGAATTGATACCTAACCTCTGTTCTTCTGTCTCTGAATTCCAGCTTTCAGACTAAACCAACAGTTCTGAACTTCAATTTCTGGGGAGTTGAGCTCTCTGTACTGAAAAGGTTGTTTTAAAAACCTATTTATCAAGCAGGGTGTTCCCCACAGCTGTTCATTTGTAAACAGCTACAGTCTTTGAAGGATGTAATGGGTTCAGTGGAAGAGAATTTTGCAAAATTGGAGATATTTATGGTGGAATATGATGATTCTGATGTTTTTCCTTGACTTGAGAGCTTGTCCAAATAATGTGGGCTTCTAGGAAATAGCCTCTTCCATCAGTGTGTGTGTGTGTGTGTGTGTGTGTGTGTGTGTGTGTAGGGTTGTTTGCTTTGTTTTATTTTTTGATTCAGAGCACTGTTGCAGTGCCCAGCCTGTGTTATTGCTGTGTCAAGGAGCTCTTTGCTTCCATTCGTCCCTTTCTGGCCATCGAGTGATGGGCTCCCCCAGGGAGTAGGACAGTGATTGTGGTTGCCAATGACAGACTACCCTGATGTTATGATTTGCGTCTAGTTGGGCCCCCAAAGCCTCATGCAGTCATGGGGTGGCTTCCAGAGTTTGTGATTGATTCTTGATCCAATGCTGGGATTGCAGGTGTGAGCACTACACCCTGGCCCTGAGGTGGGTAATTTGCATTACATTGTAGTGAGGGCAAGGGAGGCTGGCTAGCTGCCTGAGCTGCTGTTTCTCCCTTTGCCTTCTCGCTCTTTGCCACTGCCATGAACCGTTGTGCTGTGCCATGTGCCACTCTGCCTTGGAGCCAGCTGAGTATGGGCAGAAGCCTCCACTGACTGTGAGCTAAATAAACCTTTCTTTCTTTCATTTTGCGTGTCAGGTATTTGTCCCAGCAACAAGCGAAGACTAAGACACCTGTGTACCTCTTTCTGTTAACTAAGAACATCTGGTCTAGAAATGGCTTCCACTGAGGGAGCATGAGGCACTAAAGATGAATTCTACATCCTTGGTTCTGATTTAGCAGCTGTGGGTACAGTGGGTCCCATCAAGCCACATTCCTCTATACAGTATACAGTAATATGTACTCTTATTTCATATCTTTTAATAAGTGGACTTGGAAACACCGCAGTCATACATAAAGTGTATACACCTCAATGATATGTTAGATTACTTTCTAATTATTATTGCCCAACTTCAGAAATTTAGCAAGTTGTACTATACTTTTTCTGTTCAGAAAGCTGTATGTTCGTGGTTGGCCTATTCTTAAAAATTGTGCCATCTCGTCTTTCCAATGGATTTCTCACAATATGCTCTTATTTTGTTGAGTACCCTGTCTCATGCGTGACTCTTGTCACAATGCTGTGGTGCTGGGGTATTTTATGTTAGAGCCTCAGATCTTCCGTCCTATGGAGTTGGCTCCTTCCATTTGTGTGTTTGGCCACCAGGGAGCAATAGAGTCCTGACCGAGTCATTGATATTTCACTGACTTCACTGAGCATGTGTACCTGTAAGTAGATGCTTATGAACACCAATTTTAATTATACTCCCATAAGAATAAAATAAAATTAGAGATGAAGACATCTCTTCTGTGCTTAACTTTAATCCAGGCCTAGCAGCTTTCTCTTCTTTCAAAATGTTCGTCTGTCTTCGGTGGTGATGGGGAGGAGGCTATCTTCTGTGTGATGTGAGAAGTCTTCTTTTGCTGCCAGCCATCTTCTCAGAAAACTTATTTGTCCTCCATTCAGATATTTTGTTTGGGGAGGAAAGTGCTTTTTAATCTCTTTTCTACTGATGTGCAGTGGTGTAAGTTTTGTTTCTAGCTCCTTCCAGCCTTAGCTGGGGATCTACCACAGAGCCCCACATTTCTGAACAGTTGGGGACACTGGTGACTTATCCAAGGAGAGAGGATAAGAAAAGCCTTGTTGTCCTTTCTCTCCAAGGATGTGTTAACACCTTGCAGCATGCTTCAGCTAGTGGCTAAGTTCACACATTCTCAGGCATTTCAAAACACAGCAAGACGGCTTCAGAGTCAATTCCTGCCTTACTTTTCTTTTAATTTTTTAAAATCTTTTATTTATTTGGTACAGGGTCTTGCTGCACAGCTTGGACTCATAGTGTTCCTCTTGCCTCAGCCTCCCCAGTGCTGGGATTACAGCAGTGCACCACCACACCCAGTTTTGGTGGTTGGCACAGCATACCTGGGGTTTCAGGCCAGCACTGCATGCAGTATCGGGGATTGAACCCAGATCCTTACGCTTGCCAGGCAGGCACTTAGACAGCCGAGCTATCTTCCCAACCTGTGCCTAAGCCACAGAGTTTATTGTCATGCAATCCTGGAGTTGAAATGTCCACAATCAAAGTGTTGGCAAGATCGGTGCCTTCTGAGCTCTGCGAGGGAGACGCATCATGCCGTCTCCTCAGTTTGCCCGGCTCAGGCCTCCTCCCTCCCACCTCCTCACCATCCGGGGTGCACGTCCACCCCAGCATGCACACTCTCCCTTTTTCGTAAGGACACAGTCATGTGGTTGAGGACCCACCCAGTGACCTCATTTTTGCTCAATTGCCTTTGTTAAGACCCTGTTTTCAAGTCAGATTATACTCTGAGGCACCTTGGCCAGAAAAGCGACATTCTCCCCCCACCCCTGCCTTGGGGACATAGTGCAACTCATGACAGTGCTAACAAGAAAGAAAACTACTTCTCATGATCCCATCCCATCCTAACTGCTTGACCCTGATCACAAAGGTAGGAACTCATGGAATATCCTGTGTACTCCTGCCATGTGGTTTGTTCAGGTGGATTTCTTAGTTAAAGGAGTTGAAATATTGCTCTAGTACTTATCAGACTTCACAACTATGTTTTATATACACATGCGCACACATGGAACCATTTTATATTCTAATTTCAAAAATTTTAGAAATTATCTTGATTATTTTTGAAGTGATGTAGACAGGCATTGGTGTTTGAATTAATCACTTTCCTAATCAAACAGGGAAATATGGTTTTGTGAATATTGATATCTACTTCTCTTTCACTGCTCTGTGTATACCTGGTCATCTCCTTTGTCTGTAGAGCTACTTGTTTTGGGACCTTGATAGAGGTTT